CCTACTTTATCTAAACGAAAGCTTTTATCACGAACATTTATAATCAGTATCTGTACAATAAAAAAACTGCTCCATCGAAAACTATTGGTAAAGAAAATCGATTATATCCGCCCATAAGCGGTAGTAATCCAGAAAATCCTGCACGGAGCGGCTCGCGCCTGTTTAAGCCGGCTCCGTCGGCGTCGTCCGCAGAAAGCCATGAATATGCAACGCTTTTGTGATATATAATGTGCCCACGCTTAGTTGAATTTCGAAATTCTAACCTATCGATAAACGGGTAAACAAATACAAGCTTCAACGAATACGTGGCACAGAAGGGCAACGGGTGGCGCTAACTGCCGGTATGGCAGGGTAGAAAGAGCCGCGGCTTGCCGTGGCATTCTTCTGGAATCTGAACCAGCCACTGTGCCATGACTGCTGTACAAGACAACCTTATTTCAACTTGCTTACGATGACGTGCCATATATAAAGTAACATGAACTCTAAACTCATTGAAATAAGATTCAAAGTAACTTGGTAAGTAATATAATAAAATAAAAACTGCGTTTAAAAAACCGACTTCAAAAAAACCAAAAACTAAAAACAAACAAAAAGTCAAAACTAAAAAGCAAAAAATAACTATGATTAGTACTGATAGATTACCCACCCACTGATAGGTAAGAAGTCGGTGCCATAAGTTCCATACAAAATTATTCATTAAAACCTTAATAGGTACCTAATTCACATTTATGTGGACATTAAGTTATATCATTATGATATGATCTTATGGCACCGACTTCTAACCTATCAGTGGGTGGGTAATCTATCAGTACTAATCATAGTTATTTTTTGCTTTTTAGTTTTGACTTTTTGTTTGTTATTAGTTTTTGGTTTTTTTGAAGTCGGTTTTTTAAACGCAGTTTTTATTTTATTATTTTATCATTTTCAGTGTAAAGCTACATATACCCGTTTTGTTACTTATAATCTACATAGGTGCAAAGTTCTAATCAATACAAATTAATCAAGCCCAAACACAAGGTAGTTACTGTATACCGTTAAGGAGTTCCTTTAACAATTACACTTCTTCATCATCAGATCCTTAATGACAGCCTTACTCTATTTAGGTGTAAAGTCCTCATCAATCCAAATTAATCAAGCCCAAACTCAAGGTAGTTAATATAAACCGCTGAGGAGTTCCCTCGACTGCCTGTCGGCTCCATCATCAGGTCAACTCCAGACCCTTATCAAATTTTAGTGTTTCAAAATCCTAATTGAAAAACATAATAGACGCATTACTCGCCCATAGAATTTTCGAAAGTTCCCCTCAGTTTCCCTAGGATCCCATCATCAGATCCTGACCTCATGGAAATGGGACCATCTCGGGAGTATACCCTTTCAAACAAAACAAGAATTTTGGAAATCGGTTCACAAATGGCGGAGTACTGCGCGAACAAACAAAAAAAAAAAAAAAAAAAAAAAAAAAAAAACAATCAGCCGAACATAGTACCTCCTCCTTTTTTTGAAGTCGGTAAAAATCCTTGCCATGCCATGACGGCAGTGAGCACTAGCACTAAGCCTTCAAACTTCGTAAGTGGAGGTACCAAAGGAGGGTCAAAGAGACACGCGTACTGCGGACCAGTCGACTATATAGGTTACTTTAAAATTTCGGACGTATATTGACATTATTAATTAAATATTTTTCTGGTAAAGAATGCACGTTATCGCCAGAGAAAGCTCCGGTTCAAAGACAAAAGGCTGAATATATGAACAAAAAGCAAATTAAAAAACCGGCCGCCTTTCAATCCGAGTTTTCATTAAAGCAAGAATTTGTAATTAATTCGTCTTAGAATAGGTATTTGCCTTTACAACCGGTTCAATTTAAATCATGGTGGTTGTGGTTGAACACAGAAGTGGTGCTAATTGCACAGAACACAAATAGATGGAGACATTAGATACATTTCAAACAAAAACATGATTGATTATTATTTTAAAGTGACTCGTGTTTGCAAACAAACACGCTAAAGCTTCGAAGGCCAGATGTGACACACCTGGTGCTAAATGTTTTATTTAAATTTTCGATTTAGCAAACTCTTAATGAGGTTGATATCAACTTAATTAGTTATGTAAACGGTAATCGAATTCACAATATCAAATTACCGAAACCATAAGTCTAAAGGCTTAAGAGGTGTGACGTCATCGCAGTGAACACATTAACGATCAAGTATTAAAAACATAATATTTTAAAATAAGTTTCCTTATTTATATGGTTTTGTAGACAATGTTACAAACGGGACAGTTATATAGAAATAAGTCTCACAAAACTGATCATTTCGTAGATATGTTGATTCAACGGGAAACGGGTTTCATTTTTACACATATAGATAGATACAGGCGGTCCCTGGAGTGTAGATTAAACTAAACAGGCCCGGCTCGTATAGGGAGCACATAACTTCACTTTTTTGGATTGAAGATGTTAGTTTCGTGATGACACGTACTCTCATTAGTCTGGTAAAATTTTAAAATAAAATTGAGAAAAATGATACAAAAATATTGGTGGTATTGCCGTATTGGCATATCTAGACATGACTTACGAAATGGTGCACAAAGGTACTTAGACTAAGAGTATAAACTAAGTCAGTTTACTGCACTGTTGGTGCGGTGGCTGGGCGACCGATTGCCGCGCAACGTACAGCGGGTTCGATTCCTGCACGGAGCAACTCTTTGTGTGATCCACAAATTCTTGTTTCGGGTCTGGGTGTCATGTGTATGTGAACTTTATGTTTGTAAACGCACCCACGACAAAGGAGAAAATCCAAGTGTGGGGCAACGTTTTTTTAAAAATAAGAAACCATATACCAACTGGTAAAGAAGAATATGGATCGAAGGATAATGGTTGGCATCCACAAATTAACAGATGAAGTGCTTGAAAGTGTTCTCGTATCGACTCGCTTACTTTTCGCTTGTGAGACGCGGCGGGAAATTAAACGTCTGTCATTGGCGTAAGGACGCGTGACGTCAACTTACACACAACTCCATTCGAGCAAAGAAGTGAACAATTTCCCGTATTTCGTGTCGTGATGCTTTATCTTATCTATGACAGATAAGTTTGTAGTAGTTTCCGTTGTTTGTACCATTACTTGTGACGTACATATTTAAAGATTGAGTACCGAGGCAGTAGCCATTGGTTGGCTACTCAACCAACCAATGGTAACAGAAAATATATCTTGTTATAGTAGCTATTAGTTATTATTAAATGAAAATATATTATATTTTAATGGCTATTGTCTCTGTACTGAGTCGATCTTTATTTTCTTACCTGCATACTAAATATCACCTACCAAAATCACCCCCTATTACATGGGACTTATAACATAAACAGTGAAAAGTGGGTCTTACATTGTTAGTGGTATAATGTGCACCTCTGCCTACCCCTTCTGGGATAAAAGGCCTGATGTTATGTGATACTAAATAATTGTACTGACTGTACAAAAGTATGTGCACTGTCAGTGCATAGTCAAACTAATTTAGATGTAGGTGTCTAGTGTCTAGTGTTAGACGACGAAAATCAACAAAATTAACGTCACTAGTTTAGTCTGTGTTACTGCCAGCATCAGCTGTCATGTTGACGCTGTCATCTGTCAAATGTGACAGATTAGTAAAGTTTCGCGCGCAAAGAGTTGCAACGTCCATTCGGATTGGTAGTTTGAACGACCATTAAGTACCGGTAATAAATAAAATAATCTGTTTTAGAATAAACTTTCAATGTTTAAATATTGAGTTTTACTTAAAACTAAGTATCCTTACTAATATTATAAATCGGAAACTGAGTGTGTTTGTTTTTTTGTTCCGCTTTCACGCCGTAACTACTAAACCGATTGCTTTGAATTTTTGCAGACGTAAAGTTAGAAGTCCGGATTAAATAATAGGGTACTTTTTATCCCGGAAAAATTTGATATTCCCGAGGGAAAACAAAAGTATTGGTATAGATGGCGCTGTGTGTATTGGTATGTCACATAGGCTACTTTTTATTCTTTTCTGACGCGAGCGAAGCCGCGGGTAAAAGCTAGTAAGACTATAAGTATATCCTGTATTGTTCACTTGGCGTGGGGTGAATGTACAAAACTTACTAAAAAATAATTTTTCAGTGAGATATGCTAAAAGATGTATTAAGGTAGTTATTGATCGATATTTTCAAAAATGAGGTATAATTTTTAAACCGTACATTGTTGCTGAACATACACTGAGTTATTTAGGTAGGGATTGATCCCAGCTATCACCCCTTACAGTACGGTGCACTATTTACTGGACACCCTGTATGTACATATTATATATAACTAGCGTCTGCCCGCGACTTCGTACGCGCAATCCCGTTTGTTCCCGTCCCCGTTCGTGAATTTTAGTTAAAAAAGTAAAAAAAAGTATTATATAACTATTATTTTTTTATAATTGGTCGGAACCTCTTCATCAATTTTCATCCCAATCGAGTTAGCCGTTTATGAGTTATAAATAGTGTAACTGACACGTCTTTCTTTTATATAGATAGACTAGCTGACCCGGCGAACTTCATACCGCCAAAAATATTTTATCTTATTTTTTCTCACCTTTAAACCTTCCCTGGACTTCCAAGAACATTTCAGGACCAAAATTTGCTAAATCGGTTCAGCCGTTCTCGAGTTTTAGCGAGACTAACGAACGGAAATGCATTTTTGTTTATATAAATTTTCCAAGTAAGTATCTATATACATACAACTAGTTATATATTTTAATTTGTCACCTGCCACTTTCATCTCTGCACAACCTAAAGGTCGACGACCCCCCAAACCCACAAGATTTTTTATTGTCGAATCTTGTATAAATATGTGCGTGGGTGGCCACACCAGGTCAAAGTGGCATTCACATTATCAAAATACTAACTCTTCAATTAGTATTGTGTAGATAGTGAATGCCACATTATCAAAATACTAATTGAAGAGTTAGTATTTTGATAATGTGAATGCCACTTTTAGATGATTAAAGGATGCACAGTACTATGACAGAATTCCAAAATGACTGTTAATACAAAATGTATTGTTATGAATCTCGGGCGTGCGTCATTTGCGATTCATGCATTCCCAGCAGTGGGTGAGCGCGTCACTGTGCTTCCTGTGCGCGCGACCTCTCACCTCGTATGCGTGTGCTCGCCAGCCAGTGCTCGTCCAGCCGCCGCCGCCGCAACATGGCCGCGGCTCTCTCCAGCTCCGTGTGCGTGCTGCTCGTCGTGCTGCCGCTGCCGCCGCCGCCGGTGGAGGTGAGTACACACGCACTGCCCAGCCTGCGACACAGACACTCACGCTCGAACTAAGCCCCGGGCGCTTGTTGCAGGCGGCAGTTCCAGGCACGTTCTTCTGGAAGCCATCAACGGATCTTGACTTAACACGAAGGCGTAAGTTCATATAGCAATTAATGTCATTTTAATTTTTCCTTTATTAACCCCTTCGTTTAATTTTACAGAAATAAACCCCGCAAAAAGGGAACCATACATTTACAAACCGACCGAATGGAATTTTGGGTATCACAAGCAAATGGCGATAGCTATCGACGGTTACAGATTATCAACCACCTTAATGGCGATATACGTCTACGTTGATTTTATGAACCGTGCGTACCCGGCACTGCATCCCTGCTACGCGGACTATTGGACCAACGCGTACCGTTGGTTGATCCGCTACCTCAGTCTGTGAGTGACAACATCTCATCTCCTCTCCTCTCTCTATATTCGTTTATTGGTTTTATACTCGTGCGAAGCTAAGCAACGCGCTACTTTCAGAATTCCAGATTGGATACATGGTCGATCAGACAACTACGTGGCTACGCACAGGGTGTGGAGGAAGCGTTTCTTCTTTATGGATTGGTGGATGCCAAAGTGGGCACGCAAATTTTTTCTCTGTGTCCCGCCTGAATCCTGGGCTTGGGAACAATTCACATGGAGGAGATGGCGCAGATACGTTGAACCGCAATTTGGCAAATACTACATCTACCCCTCCAAGGTCTTTACAGACTTTCAATCTATGCAAAAAGGTTCAACCGTTGAAAACTTGGATATGAGCTCTGCCTCCTTACAGTAGGCCGTACGTGTACGTACACAAAGCACCGCTAATTAGTTCGTAACGCTCACATCGACACTACTGTCATTTACACAATGTACATGTGTGGGTAATTTCATATTACTGTGTATAAAAATATTCGTCCACCACGTTCACATTGGTATTTTCATTCTTGTGTCGGTATAAGTATTTTTATAATTTAATGCATGGGTAAGGTTAAAACTATTTACAATCATTGATATGACCCGACATTTTCACTGTAATTATCGTAGTGCTCGTGGTCGATTGGTTAATGAGTACGCTTTTATCGTCTTTCAAGGATCAATGATGATGTGGGTTCTATTCCAGCTAAAAGTTTTTTTTTATTTTACCTTGTTGTTTTTCTTATTTATTTTTTTTTGTTTTTTGTCATATAATATAAATATCAGGCTATAAAAGAAGCAAATCAGTCGGTAAATAAAACAATACTATTTTTTATTAAAATTAATTTATTAATTATACAAATATGTGGTTTTATATTCAATATTTATATCTAATAATTAATTATATACCACATGTTAACTTTAAAGTTCTTCCAATCATTCTAAATTATTCTAAATAATAAATAACTAGAACTAAAATATAAATAAAGGATATTATAGGTATAAATAAATCTAAAGTATTTACTATTAAAATTAACATAAGATTTAGAAAAATAGGATAGGAAAAAAAGAAAAGATTTAATTGTTTCTAATTTCACATTTCAAATATTTGATTAATTAATACTAAAACAACATGTGAATGCTGGAATCGATCCGGTGGCACTTTACTTGACCACTGGAGGCGATAACCATTGCGCCAAGCGCGCCGTAGATGAGAACATCGAAATATTGTATATCATTCAGTAACATAAAAATACAATGAGAATGCACTATATTTATATAAGTATTGTATTGCTCGATCGTTCATTATTTTTGATTTCGATGTATTCAAAGTTTGTTATGAGTATTTTTATCTTTACCCTCGTTTTTATTTAAACTTATTTACTAAAATATTACGTATACCGACACAAAAATGATATGTAATACCAAGATGTGTGTGATAGAACGAATGTTTCTATACATATCTATTAATATGAAATTACCCACACATGTTCACTGTGTAAATGATAGTAATGTCGATGTGTAGCGCCTCGAACTAATTAGCGGTGCTTTGTGTACATACATTATTTTTATGTATTTGATCTTATAAAGTTAGCTTTTAAAAACTCTCAAAGGCGTATACAGACGCCGCCACCGCGCCGCGCCGCTTTATTTTACTACACATTGCTAGCTTCTAAGAACTGGTTCCTTGCGAGTAGCAACGCAAGCAATTACTAACAACTAGTAATGTTAGTACTAACGAGTGTGTGGTGGTTTAGTAAAATGTTATCTTTGATTTATTTCGTTGCGGGATTTAAGATGACATTTGTACATACATGACATGTCCTGTATGCAGATGATATTTTTTGTCGACGTAACGATGTAAATTAAATAAGTTCCCTTCTTCGACTCCATAATTGGTTCATTATTGACTATTTACCGCGCAACCGCTCAATGAGAAAAAAACCAAATGTATCTTTGACTTACTAAACTTTTAATCAATTTATTTTTATACAGCAGTAATAGTATTAATAGTTCGAATTGTCAGTATACAAATATGTGAGCACTGTGTTAGAAACGATAGATACATTTTGGTAACTTAATAGCTCCCCGGTTTATTTATTACTTAGGCTGCGTTTCCACAAAACCTGAGCTGCGCGGAGCTGAGCACACAGTGGAGTGCGAAGCGTGCTCGCATACGGTCATGTTTACAAAACTCGCAAATCGCGGCCACAGCTTGTTTAACTATGAGTACCCAACCACTCGAGTATCCAACGAGTTGCTGGCATTTATTCAGCATGTCATCGACACGATGAATAAGGTTAGCATCTTGCAAATCCAACTTTAAAGTTGCTATTCCTATGTCTTGGAAAGCTGGGTGAGATGCCAGCTCGCCAAAAAGTAGGAATGGAAAAACGTGCAAGACATTGTCACCTTACTGAAGGTGACAGACGACCACACGACGTGCCTGCATTCGTGACAAGGGACTTGCACAAGCTGCCCCCTGTCATCGTTGATCACGTCGACGTTGCCAGGTTGCTCAATGACCTTGAAGACAAGCCTGGCCGAGGTACAGTCCAAGCTGATGCCATCGGAGAACTTTCTGCGGCTTTACGCAATACTGTTGCTGCGTGTATGCATCGGTCAGAGCCACTCCGCCGAACGACACGTATGTTGTTGTTGTTGCCCAGCTACACAGCTCAGCCCTGCACTGCTCATCTCTGCGCAGCTTTAGTACAAAAACCTGCGTATTTACACGGCTCTGCTTTGCAGAACTCCGTGTGGCTCCGCTTCTGTGGAAACGCACCCTTATACCGTTATGCGTCGTACTGTCATTCATTGTTCTTATATGATGATGAACCAATTTTAAATGTGTTATGTATAAAAAATTTAATGGAAATTGTAAAGGTGTGCGTTATATGCGAGTGTTTTAGAGACGTTTGATTAAAATCGGTTGAGCCTTTTATATGTTGTGGGAGGTGAAAGTGGAGAAGAATAAACGAATGTCTGTAAATATACTCGAGTTGAGTCCCATATAAACGCGCACTGAAAGAGAATATTGATGGCTTAATCGAGAGTGTTCTTATAAAGCTATATTTGATAAGAAAATAATAAATTGAAAACAAAAAATTTTATGTAGAATTTGTAATATCTCATAATGGAATGCGTAAGAGTATGTACTTATGTACAGTGGGGACAGATGCGCCTGATCATTTTAAAATTTTGTTGCTCGAACCCGGAAATAAATGAAGCCACACCCTATAAATGTCTCAACTAATAGAAAAGCGATAACGTCGCAGTTTAGTGATGCAACCTGTACCTGTGTTATCCCTTAGTAGAGGTGCGTTTGATGTTGTTCGGCTACCTGCGCTGGCGTAAACCCCGCCCACCACCCGCTTCATTCGTCAATTCAAGGGTGCTTACTCTTGACACCAGTCTCAATAGCAATGCAATTTCAATCCAATAAAATCTCAAAAATGATTCAATGTCAAAACTGCACAACCCCTTTCGTAGCTGTTGAAATAGCATTCAGAGTACGGAATATAAAGCCAAACTCAACACCATTTAGTTCATTCAATATCCACGCAATACGGATGCAATGGGCGCTAGTGTTGCACCTCGAGAGTACGAAATTTCACATTACCAATGTCGATCGATCGGAATTGGATTCAAGAGTAAGCCTCAAGGTCATGGAGCAAGCAAGCATTAACTTAGTGGTGGTCAGGTGGATGTGCCCCCATTGTAACAATAAAAAATATACAATATAAAAATACATTAAACATTTAAAAACCCCCCGAAACTCCTGGATTCTCTAGCAAGTCCTCCAACGAATGTTTTTTTTAGAATATTTTTTTACTTATTTTAAGTAAGCTTAGGTAGTTATGTTAGGGGGTGTTTTTTATTTGTTAATGTTTTTTTATTATTTTATATTTATTTTGACATTTCAATTGTAAGTCTGTATGTGATCAAATTGAATTAAATACATTAAAATTTTACTTTTGGTTTTTATTTTAGTGCGTGGCCAACCATGTATGGCTCCGTTACTCTGGTATCTTCACTTAGTCGATGAAACACAAAGCAAGCCTTGTGTTACTTGTGTAACTTGTTTCACATATTACCAACTTCTCATTTCTCTTACTAAGCTTTTATACAATTTGGAAGAGAATATATTGTAGAAGATAGGAAATAATTATGTACGTATATACGTAGGTAGGGAGTCAGCCCTTAAGAAATGACTAGACTTCAACCAGGTACACACGTAGCATATTTCACGAGATGTGTGGCCAAACGACAACCTATCAAGTATAAAAAAAGTATATTTTGGCTTTAATCAAAGTTTGTCAGTTTTCATATATTTACTTATGAACACTTCAACCTATTACGTGTGTATGTGTACTCTGAGCATACTGTAATCTACATGATTTTATCAATCATTCTACAACATCTCCTTCTGGTCAATGTATCTTTAAATCAGGGCACGACGACATCCTGGAGGCTGGTTGACCCGTCCAGTTATTGACAAGATAATGCCTTCATTGTTTATTTTATGTAAATATAATGAAGATAAATTAATAAAAGGCGTTTTAATTTTAATATTTATTGTTAGAACAAAAACACCTTTAGTCCAACTTAAGCTATTCTTTTTAAACAAGTCTTCAAAATCAATATTTTAAGGGGTCATCCATAAATTACGTCACACGAATTTCATGTATTTTGCCCCTCTCCCCATCCTTGTCACAGCTAGTCACATTTGCGACCCCCCCCCTCTAGTGTGACGTCACATTTTGCATAATTACGTAGGTATGTATAAAAATTATTGATGAAAACAGCGGTTCCGAATCAGTTTTATTTCTATTTAAATTACTTAAAAAAAAACCAAATCAAACAAAATAAAAAACATTAATACAATTATATTTCGTGTTTATTATAGTTTTTGAAATGTGACATCACAAAGTTTAGGATACCTCCCTTGTCACACAATGTCACATTTCGTCGATCCCCTCCCTACCCCTTAACGTATGACGTAATTTATGGACGGCCCCTAATCAGTTCTTTGGTGTTCGTCTTCCTTTTGTATGTTCTCATGGTTCTGGATTAAAAACAAACAATAACAAGAATTAACAACTCTTGGTTTTACTTTAAACTAAAAGGAGGATTGAAGTTGGATGACCAACTTGTCAACTAGCTCCACAATCAAGATGTCAACCACCCCAGACGCCATTTTGATTTTCAAACTTACCTACCAAAAAAAACAAGGATCGACAAACTTGGTGGGTACCAAGTATTAAATAATTTGTAATGCTGAAATTAAATGTATTAACGCGATAGATTGTATGTGAAAAATGCGTGAAATTAAATATTTACTTACGGGATATGATTTTGCAAACACTTCGCGCCATGAGGCACTGAAGGGCGCGTGGGAAGAGTGTTGCCTTTGCGGTCAGATGACGCAATGGTCGTACAAAGTTATAATTATTGTTCGTTTGTCTGCTTACCCCTAAAGCCAACCAGTACTGTTCTGCCCTACTAGCGTGGGTGGTGAGTAGAAAACAAGCTACTTTCCCCGGTTTTACCCGCTGGTCGGCTCCTATTTAACACATCGCAATGTAAAGTTAACTGTATTATTTAATAATTGCCCCACTGTTGTTGTTTGTATAGTGACAGGTATCTGTCAGCTGTTATAGACATGTAAACAGTCTTTTATTCTTGTAATGGTGACATTGACAGACACCCGCCACTAAAGTAATAATCGACAAATCAAAATGTTAAGGTAGATGAATCAAGAGTTTAAGACTTTACCCTCAACTGTCTTGGTTGGCAGTTATGATTTTGGTCGACACTTGAATTTGAACCGTTGAACAGAACGATGATATTTTTATTGTGAAAATTATATCGAAGAATAAAAGTAATCATTTTATGTTTGAGTTGAGATTGAGATCTTACAGTAATGTTTGGTAGCCCTACTCAGTAGATGGATATTTAAATGAAAATCTCTGAAATAAATAAGTTATTAAAATATGAAATAACACGTATTGAGATTTTCGACATGGTAAGTTGATGCTTGGTAAAGAGATTTCACAAGACTTTATTTATTTATTTACAAAACACAACATTACAGCTTACGCCATTACTTTATACTATTAATCTTATGAAAGTAAGGACTTGAAAACAAAAAATTGGGTAAGTGAATACGAGAAATAAAAATTAATACAATTTAAAACAAAAGATATGGAATGAAATATCAAAAGAAGTAAATAGTAATTTGAACTTAGCATAGAATATAAACATATGTTATCTTAAAAAAATACATTATAATAACCTACTATCCATGCACTCACAGACCCTGAAACATTCACAACACACGTCTATCCTTCTCATTGCAAACACACTCTGTGGAGTGTTAAAGACTACGCGATATATAAACTCCTTTTGACCCATTATTTCATGGACACTCTGTACACTAATTATACAACAACATAAAACAAACAAATATACAACTTATTAACTAAAGGTAACATAAGAAAGAGATAACAAACAAAGGAAAAAATTATATCAATACAATGCCTTGTTACATGTTACAGCTGTGTTACAGGCGGGCCCAAGTGAAGTCCAGAGACGATTAAAATCGTTCATGGAATCATGGCCAGTGTAAATGTAACTTTTTTTTTTTTTTTTTATTTATTTATTATTATTACATTTCAGTACAGTTTAAAATTTCTTATTTGCACCATTAAACCACAGCTGGTTTGTATTGGTACTCACATTCGCTTAACAAGTTTTATGTTATAAATTTATAAACCCATTCAATATGACAATTACGTTAATATATGTGACAAAGATATAACATTTTAGATACGTTAGATATTTTACAAGTAACAGTAAACATCCATGAGCAAAGCATAAACGCACTCATTAAAATTGCAAAGAAACAAAGTACTCAAAGAAACCGATACCGACACACACGGCACTAGCTAATGTTAAACTTTTGCAGTCTACCCCACAATATGCTACATTCGCATTATGAGTTCTCAGTGTGTAACCGGTTCTCGTCAACTTAAAAAATTGTAATATACAGGCTGTTTCCTACATTTTGGTTGTGAATAATTTTAGACCATGTTATTTATGATATTGTGGTAATATTTTTTATATTTCTGTTTATAGTTTTTGGAGTTAATTTCGTATTTGATATTTTGTGGAATTTCATTAATTATTGTGGGGATTATAAATTTAGAAGTTCGTCTGCCATAATAATTTTTAACTTGAGGTATTATTAATTTATTTTTGGTAATATTCCTAGTGATTATTTTATGCGAAATGGGTACTTGAATACTTTTATTATTAAATTGTTCACTCAAGAAGGCTAGATGAAATCGAAACTGTACAGGTAATATTTTGCAATATTTAAATAATTCTGTGACGTTATTTCTGCATTTGTCTTTTATTTTACTCGGGACCATAAGTTTTAGAAATCGAACCTGTAATTTAGTTATCTTTTCAATAAGTGTTTTAAAGGTACGCCCGTAACTTGTGATTCCGTATGCAATAATTGATTCCGCCAAGGCCATGTACATGCTAAGTAGTGTTTTAAACGGAACTTTCGGTTTCAATATGTAGAACTTAGCCAATATTGCCCGTAACCTATCACACACTAAGTCGACATGAAAAGACCAGTTGAAACGGTTGTCTACGATTAGTCCCAGGTACGTGTGGTGCGTTACCTGGTCAATTTCCTCGCAACGACACGCGCCTCGCCGCGTAGAGTGAAGACAACCGTGACTATGTGATACAATACTGAAAGGCATCATGAGCTTCAAGTGGCTTGAATGGACATGTATTATTTTAGTTTTACTGGAGTTAATAACCAGTCCAGCATCATGTGCCCATTTAGAGACTCTAGTAAAATCTTCCTGTAACCAGTGCGCTGCTATATTAACATCTCTGTGGGCTGCTGCAAGGCATGTGTCATCTGCATATTGATAAATTGAGCAGTGATTTACCACATGCTCCATGTCGTTAACATAAGTCAGGTAGTGCAAAGGCCCAATTACTGAGCCTTGAGCTGTCCCGTCAGTGACATCAACAGCATCACTCATCTCAGTACTGATCTTAACAGTGTATTTCCGATTGTTCAGGTAGTCTTTACACCACCCAAGCATTGGCCCCCGAATCCCAGAGTTTTCAAGCTTTGTCAACAGCGTGTTATGTTTAAGCGTGTCAAAAGCCTTACTGAAGTCAATAAATAGCAAGAGTACATGGTTTCTGGCATTGAGAGATTCATTGACCTCATCAGTAAATTTTGACAGCAGCTGTGAAGTAGACTTATTAGCCTGAAAACCATACTGTGTACTGGACAACACGTTCTGTTCGACATAAAAATCTTGTATCTGTTTACAGATATATTTTTCTACTATTTTGTCAATAACTGGCAGAATAGTGATCGGTCTATAGTTTTTATAGTCACTTAAGCTTCCTTTTTTATGTATAGGGCGCACTATACCGGTTTTCAATACTCCCGGATACTTTTCCTGTTTAACACTAGTATTAATTAATTTTACGATAACACTGGCCATCTTATTACATATTGATTTTATGTCTATGCACCTAATATTGTCCATGCCAGGTGCCTTCTTTGCGTTGAGATTTTTAATTATTTTAGTCACACTGCTGTTTGTAGCCTTCCTAAAGAAAATTGACGAGTTATGGGGAAACATATACTCTGATTCATTTAATAAACGATGTTTACAATTTGGCAAGATTTTTTGAACGCTTTCTCTGAATTCCCTAGCAAAATTATCCGCGATAGATTTTATTTTTAAATGACTGTTTTTGAAGGCTTTCAGGATAGACTCGTCAACCGAATTCTTGTTACGACCAGACAAATTATTAAGTATTTGCCATAGGTTTCTGGGGTTTGATTTATTAATACATACAACAACATACAACAACATAGAACATGTTTGTTACTAGATTAATGAAAGCAACGAAAAATACAGATAAGGAATTAAATTTACGACAGTTACAAGCAAACCTCTTAAGCCTATAGGGATTTTCCTAGATTGTTCATACATCATCAGAACATCAGCAAAATCACAAATAATATGATGTGATAAGAAACATATTAACTGACTGTTAAATCTATGGAAACATAAACTGGTCACTTTATTAATACTTGCTGATGGTTTCATCGAAAACAATCTATTGAATTTGGGATAAATGTACTTTGTACATTGCCTCATATACATTATTTAAGCGATTCTGGGTTTTGGAGCATTGTCCTTTTGTCATGTTCTATCTGTTATGTGTATCTTCAGTCTCTACAGATCTATGTGGTGAACAGTGGACCCGAATGGTGCATCGCAATGTTATATATCTAACTTTATTTTTTGAACGTTACTTTACACTTTGTTTTCCTCCTGTACCGTGGTAGTAGTTGTCGGTGCGTTTACAAACATACATATTCACACGCGGACAATTGTTCCGGGAATCGAATCCATGGCACGTTCCGCAGAAGTCCGTTGCTCCGCCACTGTGCCAACCGTGTAATTCAAATATTGTGAAGTCATGGTAAATTAAAGCTTGAATGAAACAATGTACGAGTGCAGCTACACTACACACATGACGGCCTAATCATTAGACACGGTGCTATCATCTAACTGTTCGAAAGTTTCATATGGCCTCATAGATTTGTAATCATTGAAGACTTTCGATGGGTATATGTAGAATTTACCCCACTGTGCCTGGGCGAACTTCTTGTATATTTTCCAAACTAGCTCTTCTTTCACGAACGTTAAAGGGTGTACGCAAAGCTTAATTAAAAAGGGTCGAAGCCAATGAGGAATGAATCTGTTCAAATAGAAGTAGCGCTTCCTCCACACCTTGTGCGTGTCTATGAAGGAAGTCTGGCCGGTCGCCCATTCTGGAAGCCTGAAAGTGGGATAAGTTTTTACCCAATTCCTCTAGAACTAGTTTTTTTTAAAGATACAGTGATTGAAGTATAAAAATATTATAGAAAAAAAACAATTCTGATCTCAATACCATCTTTTTCGTGTCTATTACCAAATAGATACTTTTCCTTCTTCCTTCACCTTCACCTATCTAATAGTCCGATAATTGAGTAGGAAATATGGCGGTTACCTGAAAAGTTTTCAAGACATTTCAGGTAGAACTACCAAATTACTGAACTATAATTTAATTGTTTTAGGTTAACAGAATTTAAGTGAGAGCTATGCTTTGACTGCGACACGAATGGGCCGGCTCGACCGGAGTGATACCACGGGCTCACAGAAAACCGACGTGAAACAACGCTTGCGCTGTTTTTCGTCGTGTGAGTAAGGTTACCGGATGCCCAATTACCAATTATTACGGAATTAGGATTTGTCTCTGGTATATGGCAATAGGCTCACCCCCTATTACATGGGTCTCATAACATAAATAGTGCAAAATGAGCGTTACGTTGTACAGTGGCACTATGTACGTGCCGTAATGTGCAATCTGCCTACCCCTTCGGGGATAAAAGGCGTGATGTTATGGGTATTTTTGTTTTGCAATGTTTTGCGGTTAATAACTGTTTTCATGGTGTTTCCAAGTAATTAGAGTAGTCCAAACAATAACCATACTGGGACAGAATACCTACAGTATTAAGACCACCTTGTACTATTTTGATCTGTATTACATGAATGAATAATATGGAAAATCTTTCGTTAGTAGCGTATTCTATAGGTTATAAAGTTCGGCTACGGAATTAAAGTACGTTTTTTTTAAGGGGGGAAAATCATCGAATGACTGCTCCCGCCTGAGTGAGGCGGAAGGGAGTGTCAGACTCTTACTGACTAAAAACCACCGTTCCTTCTCCTGCACGTCGAGTCCGGTTCGACGGCCCCGGTTACCCGTTGGGATTAGGATCGCCTATCCATACGTCAAAAGTACGTCAAGGGCAGAGACCAAGAGTCCGTGGAGAATGAATATGTAATGCAACATAAAAAAAAAATACGGCTGCGTACCTACATGGTTGGCAGCCCTGTTGTCATATGACTTTGTGTATTACTTAACTGCGCGACCAAGGGTTGGTTTTTAACAGTCTTAGAGCTTAGAAAATTGATAATGCGAGTGAAACTTACGTTTTAAGGTAGCGATATAACCAACGGTACGCGGTGGTCCAGTAGTCCGAATAGCAGGGGTGAAATTGCGGGTAGGCATCACCAAATACCTCAGCGTACTTGAAAATTGTCAAAACCGCAGTCGTTAGTTTGAACCCATAGATGACCACCGCATAACCTTGTTGAAAGTTCTTCTCAGTCGGTTTGTTATTTTTTCGGATGTTGATTATCGTTATTGGCTGAATATTTTTTTTTTCTGAGGACAACAGAGATGCGAAGTGAATCACAATAGGTAAGATACAATTATAATATTTGTGTAACTGGCAACTACAATAATTTCTTTCGTGCTAGCTATTGTCGCGCGTTTTTACCCGCTCTGCTCGGCTCCTATTGGTCGTAGCGTGATGTTCTCTAACCTAAACTTCTTCGATTAATGCACTGAAATCGGCCGAGTAGCGCATAAACAAACTCTTCAGCTTTATATAATAGTATAAGGTAAGATAATAACTAGCTTCTGCCTGCGGCGTTGCCAGAGATCCCGTACGATACCTATATAGAACCCTGTGTGTTATTCCAGACCACAATCTATCCCTGTTCCAAATTTCATCTCGATCCCTTCAGCCGTTTTTACGTGATTGAGTAACAAACACACACACACACAAACATATACACTAACACACAAACTTTCACATTTATAATATTAGTAAAAAGGAAGGTATGATAAGAGATCACATACAAATAAAGTGAAGTACTTAATGAACTTACTATTTTTCATAGCGTCCATATCATATTTTTTATTGTAATCGTCCATTGCTGCTTTTGCTGCTGCTGCTGCATCTCCTGGATCCGGTGATTGTCTCTGAGTTCGCCGATTCCAGAAATATGTGCCTGGTTCTGCCGCCTGCACATACGCCTGAGGCTTAGTTCGAGCTTGAGTGACACACACTCAGCAGCGGGCTTGGCAGTGCGCGCACTATTTGTGCACCATATATGTAATAAAGAAGATATGGTGTAGAGTACAAAATGTAGGAATCGTAGTAGTTGGCGTTTCCTAGTCTCTGCCTACCCCCATGGAAGACAGCCGTGAAGTTATGAATGTGTGTATGTACAAAATGTGTGCAAAACCGTTGAAACCACAATCGCCCATAAAAGTAATATTGCAGACACAGTTCTGACAAAAAATATTTACTACGAACAAGTGCACACACGCGCCATCGATAACTTGGTAATTCAAATATATGCCTTACTTTTTAAACCACAGCGCATATTCTCGTATTTTTTATGGAATAGGAAGCAATAGAGCGGACGGATCACCTGATAGTAAGCGATTGGCGCCGCCCATGGACACCCGCGACATCACAGGCGTACGCTCTTTTTTCTTGGATGTTTGAAGGTCAGATCGGTTCGGAAATACCGCCGACGACAGATCCTTCCACAGTTTTGCTATGCAAGCCAAAAAGTTACGTGAGAAGCGTGAATGCAATTGTGGGCTGCCAACCATCTATATGATGGGGATGCATATGCTGTCGTGATGGCGCAAAGGTGCGACAGGTACCAGGTCAAACAATTCCGCAGAGGACTCCCTGTGGTATAAACGATAGGAAAAGCACAACGAAGCTACATCTGTACGCATTGCCAAAGTGTCTAGCCGGTTTGAAACTTCCCGACATCCAACAATCCGAGCGGCACGCCGCTGAATGCGGTTCAGGAGAAGGTGGTACTGGGGTGCTCCGGCCCAAAGATGAGAACAATATTTCACGTGGGACCGAAACTGCGCCTTCTATACAAGTAGGCGGTAGGTTGGGGTGAAATACTGGCTCGATCTATTGAGCACACCAAGCTTCCTCGAGGCTAATTTGGCCTTATCCTCTAGCTAGATGACCGCGGAACTGGACATCGCTCGAAATGCTGGCACCAATTATTCCAATACCGGCTGAGGCAGTTAGGGGGGTGCTTTGTAACTGAGAAGAGATCAAGGGTCAGTTTCTTAGCGGTAAACACGCACAAATTAAGGTCACCTCAATCAGAGATTCTCCCTAAAGGGGTCTCGATTTCAGACACGAGTCTATCTCGGCTCTCTGACGTTTTCCCGAGAAATGTCAGCACGGCCGGTGTAGTAGGCATCGCCTGTGCTGTCATCCGCATAACAATCAATGTCGCTGATTTGCAACATGTCATTGATATGAAGGAGGAACAATGTAGGCGATAGCACGCAGCCTTGAGACACGCCTACATTTACAGACATGCCAAACCCGATCGAAGGCCTTCGCCACGTCCAAGCAGCTGACGATCCTCTAGATAACGCAGAATCAGGGAGTTAATAATGGACTCCATTATTTTCGAGAAGAGGGAAGTAATGGCTATCGGTCTGTAGTTGGACGGACTAGATTAATCACTATTTCTAGGGATCGGATGGACTAAAGCTGTCTTCCATGACGTCGGAACTAAGCCTTGAAGAGTAAGACAGCCGAAAAATCGTGTTAGAACTGGAACCAACTCAGGAGCGCAGATCTTGAAAACAATGGGTGGGATTCCATCAGGCCCGCTCGCCTTATGGACGTCAAGGGACAAGAGCGCTAAAAGTTCCGAGCACTTGTGGAACCGGATATCCGGCATATACCTCCCGCACCCGCACCACGGCACGACAGGCGGCTCGCGCTCACCATCATCCAGGGTTGAGTTGGACGCAAAGATTTTCCACAAAAATTGAGCTTTATCGCTTTCGTCATGAGCCAACGAATCCCCACAGTGCAGAGTTGTGAATAACGGTCTGCAGAAATTGACCTCGATAGCTTTGGCGAGCGATCAGAATGCACGAGTTCCTGAATGAATGTGCTCAAGCTCAATTCCGGTCCATACCCAGGGTAGGTGAGGTAGGATGTATCCAACTGAGATGATATCTGCGTCTCAGTCAAAAAGAGCAAGGCCGGCTTTGTTGTCTCTAGGTGGTGATGGACAGCATTAAGGTTGGTGTGTAATCCCCTGATGTTGGAGAAGTTCACGTTCAGCGTGCTAGGGGTGCCATAGTTATTTTTTTGCCCTCCAATGCGCAGTTTTGCCCTCCTCGGAGTACGATGTGGGGCGGCCTGGTTGTCCATGCTCAGAGTAGTTGAGCTCTGAAAATGGACGTTTAGAGAGGGATTCTCCAACGCAGTTGGTAACCTCGTGGGGTAAAAAGTCTGTTGTCAACTGCACCATTATGAACGGGGACCCCGGGGATTGGGCCTCATTCACTCGGTAAAACACTGCGCAAGCGCAACTCCGGTCGAGCCGGCCCATTCGTGCCGAAGTATGGCTCTTCCACGGTAATTCGTATAAATTACTCACACGAAAACAATTTATCATTGTGTGCTGTGTGCTATCACTGTGCTAAATTCTTTTATTTCTGCAGACAACAACAACTGTACAAGAAATGCCGTTTATCGTTTTGTGGTACGATCGCGGTTGACAACAGACTGACTTCCGTTGATGGCCATTTGAACGAAGCGCTGAAGCGCAGGCGACGCCGAAAGCGCCCATGCCACTTCTGCTGTTTTTATTATTTCTGTGGTGTGTTCTCACCTCCATCGGTGGTGGCGGCAGCGCCAGAATGACAAGCAGTACGCACACGGAGCTGGAGAGAGCCGCGGCCATGTTGCGGCGGCGGCGACTGGACGAGCACTGGCTGGCGAGCACACGCATACGAGATGAGAGGTCGCGCGCACAGGAAGCACAGTGACGCGCTTACCCACTGCTGGGAATGCATGAATCGCAAATGACGCACGCCCGAGATTCATAACAATACATTTCGGTTAATATCCTTAATCATTTTTTAGTTCCGTCGTCGATCAGAACCGCTACACAACTTACGTGTCAATCATAATTGGAACGACATTGTTTTTTTTATAGATATAGTTTTATAACAAGGAGATATGGTGTGGAGTACAAAATGTATGCAAACTGTTGAAGCCACAATTGCCCCTCCATTAAAGTAATATTGCACACACAGTTCTGTTAAAACAATACTACAAACAAATGCACACACGCGCCATCCACTGTCGCTGTCCTTAGATGATATATGATTACTCAAATACAAACCCTATTACAATTTAAACTAGATTTATAATAATTTAAGAAATTGCCTTGACCTAATACTCTTTATCTTCCAAGAAAGTTTTCGAAGACGTGCCGTAAAATGTTGGGATTAATCTGAGGCCTTAGTACGAGTTCGATTTACGTTTAAAGTATTCGAAACGAATACGCATTCGGCACCCTTATTGGCCGGCGCCAATGAAGCAACCAATCACAGCGCCGAACGCGTACTCGTTACGATTACTTGAAACGTAAAACAAACTCGTACTAAGGCCTCTGTGCTATAACCCCATTCGATTGTGGTCGAATTACAAATCACCCTGTTTAAAAATTTATTCAATGAAGTTAAAATAGTTCCAACACATAATTTTGTTTTCGAGAAACAATTCCAGCTAGCTCAAACTAAATCTCAAACAAAAATATTCTTAAGAAATTACATTGAATCACAATATAACAAGAAACAAATTAAATAACGTTTGTTTTGTGGACAGTGCTGCGCGTGGCTCTACGCAGACGTACAAGTCATAACAGCTCCTGCAGGTGCAAACAGATGCAGACAAATCGTTTGTATTTTCAAAATACACAGTTCCATCCGTTCCATCATTAAGTTCTATGAGAATGTTTGAACACGTTTGTATATTTTTTTAGACTAAGTGAAGTCTAAAATAATAAAAGGCACCTAGCTTTTTGCCTCACTAGAATCCCCCTTGTGGCTTCCATCATAACCTATAGAGGGCATCGTGTCCTTTTATTGACCTACTTGGAAGCACCTGGCGCAGCCTTGTGTTACAACACATTTCTAGGGAGACATGCAACTTATTTAAGCCCCGCTGTGAACGGCGCCGCGGCGGCACGTGCCTACTGTACCATCGTCTTCCCTGAGGTCACTCTAGGCGCCCGCCTAGAGTCTCCACGTTCTGTCCGTGGCCCTGCATTCGGATTCGAATTCGGACATCGACGTAAACAAGACATTTGCCTCAGTATCTTCTTAGAGCAACATCGGCCTACCTGCAATGCCGCTCAGCAGCCTCCTTTTAAGATATTACCGTCTCACAAAAGGATTCCAATACCTATGTCCGTTAGTTATACGTAAATGTTATAAAAATGGCACCAAAAAACAAATGGCCGCAAAACGAGGAGTGGATACAATGGCTCGTTTTCCAATCCCAAATATGATTCAATATGGTTACTGCAGGTCCTTATAGGGACGCGTGACATCATGATGTGTGACGAAATGGCCTTGTTAATGTGGATTCCTACAAGATACAAATATAACGCGTTATGGTCAGTGGCCAGCAAGCAACCTACTCCTTTCTGTCTTCTCTATTAAATGGTTTTATCTAGCTTGACCCGTTTGTTTGGTTCAAATTCAGTCATTGGAATTTTATCTCCTTCCTGACGACAGATCGATCTGATTTCTGGTAACTACACACTCTTAATTTTGATGGCCATACAATATTACCTATAATCTATTTTTCCCACAACTATCCATTAATAGGTAACCTCAACTATTTAGAGAGTTAATTAAAACTGTTAAAAATGTTTTATGAATATAAAAAGTGAGTTATGTATTTCTTGTTTTAATTGATTTTCGAACCGAATTTTAATGTTTGAAATGAAGTAAAAAACCCAATTAAAAAATTGACAGATTTGAGTAGGTTAATGATTGTACAGGAAGCGGCGTATTATGGTTAACTCATTGATATATCTACAAGATGTTGCTAATGTAAACGTATCAAAGTCGAAAAAGGCAAATAACAAAGCATTTATTTCAATTAGTCCTTAATTACGCACTTTTGAAACGTCTAATTGAATTGTCTGTGAAGCTCGGTGCGCGGTCCACAGTGTAGTTTCGAATGGAGAAGAAACTCCATCGTTTTCGTTACTCTTTCCAATATTTATACTTACTCTGTTGTCTGTACACAAATTGTTGTTTCGGGTCTGGGTGTCACTGTGTATGTGAACTTGTATGTTTGTAAACGCACCCACGACACAGGAGAAAATCCTAGTGTGGGGCAAAGTATTATTTAAAAAAAAACTTATCGAATATTTATTCCTTTTTTATTTGTTTCAGGTAAGCTAAGAGTGGATATGTGACCTGGCAAAGGTAATAAATAATACAATCACCTCATCTGGAAATCATTGGAAGAAGCCGATATTCAGCAGTGGCGTCTTTTGACTAATGGCGATGCTGAAGATTGTATGGAAATCTAGAGATAGTGATAGTATGTTTAGTTTTTGAACTAAACTTTGTAGTTCAGTAGGTATGTAGTTACTCGGTTTTTTGTTTTAGAAGTTTTAGTTGTAGCCAAAAATTGTCATGCGGCTTATACATGCGTTCCCCAAATGGTTAACCACCCCAGGGTATAAAAAAAAAATCGAATGTTTAACGTCGATAAGCTAGAATTAGGACCGGCGCTTGCCGACGGCATGCTTTCATGCATACCTAAATATCCCGTAGCATTCTGCTGAAAGCCCGACAGTGAGCACCGGCCCTTAACGAGTCATTTTGTGGTTTTCGTTCAAGTATCAACATAAAAATAAATTGATTTAGTTCAAATTCAAAATATAAATATATTGTCTAGAGAACTCGTGATAACCTTGAACAATAGAGGTTCGAGTTATCACAGGTTTCGGAATACTGTTTAGTACAGAAAAGAAAAAAACATTACATACATACATAACTTCACTCTTGTCCTGGGGTAGGCAGTTAGAACAATAAACATACCAAGAAACATAAAATGTTGCATAAATTGTTTATTAATATAATACCTATTAAAATGTGGGATTTTTACGCTAAATATCCGCCTTGGTTGTAGTTCTGGCCGTAACCTGATTGTCCAGCGCCATAGTTGTTGTGTCCATAAAGGTTGTGTCCTCCTTGGCCGACCTCCATGGCCCCTCCGACATCGTGACCAGAGGACTCGTGGTGGTGAACCTCCTGATTACAAAAATAACCAATTAATACAAAGTCCTATTTTGTAGTGCACTATGAACAAAAAATCTTTTTAAAACAGTCTGTCATTCATCATTATTATGTCCATAGGTTAAATTAAAAGCAAAGTGTGTGATAGTAAGATTACACTCTATTATATGAGACTAAACTGAGATTTCCAGTCAGGATAGTACAGTTCCTCTCAAATAATTACCTGACTGAAGTCGCTCTCATGATGACCGACATCATGGCCTATGTTCACTGCACCACCCCCGTAACCGCTATTGCCGTAGCCCCTGCTACCACCAGCGTAGCCGGATTGGCCGTAACCGCTGCCTGATCCGTAGCCTTCACCCACCCCTAGGCCCAGGCCTCCGCCTAGCCCGCCCAGTCCGATACCTCCACCGATCCCGCCAAGACCGAGACCTGCAATAAATTCACAAAATATTTTTAAAGGAACATAATTATATTCCTTTCAAGACCTTTCCACGAACATTTCAAGATCAAAATTAAGCAAATCGGTTCAGCCGCTCTCGAGTTTTACCGAGACTAACGAACGGAAATTCATTTTTATTTATATAGAATTGTGGGATAGAAAATAGCCTATGTTATTTTATTTTTTTAAAAACGTTGCCCCACTTGGATTCTTTCCCGTGTCGTGGGTGCTTTTACAAATATATACACAATGGCATTAAGGCCCGAAACAACAATTTGTGGACCACACAAAAAGTTGCTTCTTGCAGGAATCGAACCCACACGTGCGGCAGCCGCTTGCCCAGCCACGGCACCAACTGTGCAGTCATTCCAGATCATAATCTATCACTGTTCCAAATTTTACCCCGAACTCTTCAGCCGTTTTGACATCATTGAGTTACAGACATATAATATACACAAACACACAAACTTTCACTTTTGTAATTTGGTCAGAAGACAGACAAAACTACGTTAGGCATTAGCCAGTTGCCCAGCCACTGCAACTTGTGCAGTCAATGATGATAATAAATTACGTAAATGTGGGCATGTACCTTCAAGTCCGGCTCCAATTCCAGCACCAAGTCCAGCTCCGATGTTACCAAGGCCGGCGCCCAGGCCAGCTCCTACTTCACCAAGACCAGCTCCTAATTCGCCGAGGAAAGGCTTGGCGCTGGCGACCGCCAGGAAGGCCAAAACTGCGGCAATAATCTGTTAAAGGAAACAATTCAAAATTAGACAATAGAGCCTACAGCCAACAGGCGAGCGCAGTGGATCAGGATACATTAGGATGTGAAGGGGTACTGGGAGAGACAACTTACCATGGACTTCATTGTTAGTGTTGTATCGGAGCTGTGCACACAATGTCCACCGCCACACCGCGTCCAGCTTATATACCTCAACTGTAACAATCAATAATATGTAATTAACGACGTCTTAACGACCTGGGTTGACCACTGTATTACATAATGTACTCGACTTTTGGGAATCCTGTTTAAATTGTCATGTTTAGTAAATTCCTATTTAGTTAATAGTTACAAATAGTGTAGCGTTACTGAAGAATTTGTGACGTTGACCTGACCGGTCTGACGGGGTCGTTTTTCCAATATGTCATTAGAGTTGGGAAGTGTCTGTAGTGCAGACTGCGTTCAATGTTCAAATGTAGTTCAAATGTGTGGTTTTCGTAATTTTAAAGACATTAGGCATTTTGCGCATTTTCTTTGTGGTATATCCGAAAGTTTGTAGGTATATTTGTTACGCCTTTACGTCAATACGGCTGAAGGGATCGGTATGAATAGGGGTAGATTATAGTGTGGATTAACGCATAGGCTACTTTTTATTGACCGAGTGGTCGCAAGTGCGACTGCCGTACAAGGGGTCTCGGGTTTGATTCCCGGGTCGGCCAAAGTATTATTAGGTTTTTTTTTTTAAATCTCAGTAGTAGCACGGAGTCTGGAATTGTGCCCGGTATAATGGCAATAGGCTCACCCCCTGTTACGTGGGACTCATAACATAAATAGTGAAAAGTGGGTGGTACATTGTGCAGTGGCATAATGTACACCTCTGCCTACCTCTTCGGGGATAAAAGACGTGATGATGTTATGCTACTTTTTATCCGGCAAGATCGCGGGCGAAGCAAAAGCTGTTACATGAATATAAAAAAAACCCTTTCGCGTGTCTAGTGTTTAGAGTGTGTGGTATATAAAGATTTGACTAATACACATGTCGTGCATTCTATTCCGTTGCATGAACACGAGGTAAACTAAATAAAACAAAATATTTGGACAGAGGGTCTGGATCCGTTCATAATGAACCTTTGTAGGCATCTATTGACCTGTCCATGTCGAGCCTTTACAAAAATCTTCAATAACCAAGAAATATTAATTGAATGACATCCAGCCCCTATTGTACGAGGAAAACAACAGATTTCTTTGCTGATATTAATTAAAGCTGGGACAAGCCGCTATTATTGAATTCCCGTGTAATGAATAGTTAACAAGACTGCCTGCCCCGCTGTGGCCAAGGGATTAATTTACTGGATAAAATGTACTGGTATTTTATTGAAAATTCTCCTAGCTCGGCTCTTCTATGTTGAAAGTATTTTACTATAAAGTTTAACTGACCATGCATCACCAAATAATTCTGAGGTAAACATAATACATAGGTACTGTAAATTAAGAGTTGCAGGAATTAGGTTATATTATCAAAAAATATAAAGAACACGTGTGTTACCTCTAAGGCTCTAAGGTATTTTTATTCACTCCTTTTGTAATATTTGTATATTGTTTCTGCTCTCAGTGTTTCCCTGTGCATAAATTAGGCAAGAAAATATCTGGTATTTTTTAGCGCAGTTATGCATGAATGTGTTTTATGTATGAGGCATGTAGCAAGGACATACAGAAGAATTTAATCATTCTGTTTCCGTACACTACCGAATGTAGTCCAGTCTTGAACTATCCCGCTGTATAATCATTTTGTATTGTGTTTGCAATCACACCAGTGCAGTTTGTTTCACTACGATGCGATATCATGCAAACCGCTAAGGAATGGATCTCCTTGCCGGAGGCTGTGTTTCCCTTCAAATATGACTTGGGTGTCTACAAGTCCCAAGTGAACAGGTTGCTCATAGGTAGGCGTGCTTCATCGTCGGCCACATCATCGTGCACCACCAGGCGAGATGTGAGAGACCTAGTCAAAGTGGAAAGCATTTATTTCAACTAAACCATACGAAAGTGCTTTTGATTTTGAGACGTCAAAACAAAATAGTCCTTTTTGCCTGTCAGTGAAGTTAGGTGCACGTATCAAAGTGTAGATTCGACTGGAGAAAACCGAGCAAGAAAGTCCATCGTTACATTTTTAATTTTTAAAAGCATATAAATCTCTGTTTTAAATTTTTGACGAAAAAATGTTAGCTATCTTTAAAACTTAATGTAGTCCACGGTTCCGTTTAAATTTAGATGACTTGAACGACGAATTAATGTGGAGTTGTAGTATTTAGAGGTATATTGACTTATTCTGCACTACTTAATGGATTGTAAATTATCCGCCACCAACGGGGATGCGTGCTATAGCCCATTAACTGGCACGGACGTCAACGAGAACGATCCCGTTAGTATACTGATCGGTCTGTAAACATGTAAGGGCTATATATTAGTTAACAGTAGGTTAAATTAACTGTGGTGACCTTGGCTGTCAGTGTGTTTGTGTTAATTCTATCTCGCGTCGTGTCGGAGACCATTAAGGGCTCCGCTCGCTCAGATGACTCACGCGCAGAAATAGTAAGTATTGCCTGATGTGTACACAACAACACGTATGTAAACGTTATTATTTTACACCAAAGTGTAGACCAGTCATATTTCGGCACGAATGGGCCGGCTCCACCGGAGTGATACCACGGCCGAGCAGAAAACCGACGTGAAACTACCAAAGTGTTGTATGCCTCATCCCCAATCCCCTAATATCTAATATTAAAATCCCTAACCTCAAAAGGCCGGTATTGGTGGTGTCCGTGGGTGGTAAGAACCTATTGTCCATACTATCCATCAGTTAATCCGTCTGCTCGTGGGCCTTTGTAACAGGGTCATCTATACTCAATAGTAGTCTGGTTTACTTGAAAACGGCGACGGCTTATCCAAGTGAAATAATTGAGTAAAGCTCTACTGATTTCATATTCATTTGCGTCACGTGGGTGTCATTATATGATTTTACCCATCCATACAAAAAATTACAGTCGATTTTAAGCAACCTGCATACTGCGATGCATGCTAGCGACATGTTAACCAACACTGTATTAACTTGAAGAAATAAACATGTTTTTTTTTATGGCATAAGCCGGTAAACGAGCAGACGGATCACCTGATGGTAAGCAATCTGCGTCGCCCATGGACACCTGGAACACCAGAGGCGTTATAAGTGCGTTACCGGCCTTTTGGGGATTAGGAGTTTGAGGGGGGGAAGGGGAGGGTAATTGAACCTCCAGTAACCTCACTCACACGACGAAACACAACGCAAGCGTTGCTTCACGTCAGTTTAATGTGAGGCCGTGGTATCACTCTGGGCGACCCGGCCCATTCGTGCCGAAGCATGGCTCTCCCACACTTTAAACACTGTTTATACATAATAGCATGATGATATTTATTTTTTAATAATGCACCTAAATTGGCTTACTTGAATGTGGTCAGTTTATTCATGTTGCATCAACACAGGTTACAGCGGCATGCATGATGTCAGCGCTGACGAATATTTGGGGTTTTATTTGGGTCAGCGCTGACTTGTATTAATTTCAGAGTCAGTTACTGGCCCTGTGTATATCGGAGGCAGATTTACATGTACCCAGACTAGGTAACATTATAATACTTGAATTCTATTGTAGCACCCACTGTATCGAACTGCCTCTGGGTCCGTGTGTGTACTTATAACCATTCTTTGTCAATTAACTTGGAAGGTACCACTAACAGAAGACATGTGCCGCTAACGTAAACGATTTCGTTTATTTTACTTGTGTTGATACCATTATGGGATCGTTGACACGATGCTATAAATATGTCTCACCTATAATATTATCTTTCTTAAGAATCCGCTCAACACATGACCAAAATATTATAACACAAATATTATACGCTCTTCGATTAATAGTATACTTTAAATTAAGTATGTTACGGTTTTCATTTGTTTGGATGTTGTGGTGTTAGAGGGTAATATACTGAAATGAACTTTAAGTTGCAATGTATAAGGTTTTTAATAGTAGGTAAATTATGTTTGATGTAATATTTTTAACCGTGAGATTTCAACAAATTGTTAATAATGTTAATCCAGTGTGTGAACTGCTTCTGCAGACTTCTACTAATGGATCACAGTGCTATTATTAAATCTATAATATTGTTTAAACAACAATGTTTTTTTTCTTGTATCGACTATTAGGTTTGGTTATATTTCCTCATTTCGATATGTGCTTATTATAGTTTAATATTCACATTGTGGTAAATTTTGTTATTATTTTTTTGCTTTTCTAAAACAAAAAAAATCATATATATCTGAATTCAGTAACGACAAAAGTAGAAAAGAAATAGAAATAACTGTCATAAATAATATTTATTTATCAGTTCTGCGTTCTCTCGATGAAGTTGTTATAGTAAGCCTCCTAGGCCCAGGCCGCCCCGACCGCCACGTCCACCGAGCCCGAGACCAGCACCGAGACCTGAAATAGTTAAGAAACGTAAAATACACATTTTGGTTTATGAAATGTCCTTGAAGAATATTTGATTGGGTTGCGTCAATTAAATCTGACCCATTTGTAATCTCGAATCGAGAATTAAATCAACGCTCACTTCTCAGAAGTTACGCTTACAATCACTTTTTAAGATTTAGTTATTTGACATGCTACAGTTGCATGGGGAGTAGATACATTATTGAATTGTTGATATTTACCTTCAAGTCCGGCTCCAATCCCAACACCAAGTCCAGCTCCGATGTTACCAATGCCGGCTCCGAGGCCAGCTCCTACTTCACCAAGACCAGCTCCTAATTCGCCGAGGAAAGGCTTGGCGCTGGCGACCGCCAGGAAGGCCAAAACGGCGACAATAATCTGTTAAAGGAAACAATTCAAAATTAGACAATAGAGCCTACAGCCAACAGGCGAGCGCAGTGGATCAGGATACATTAGGTGTGAAGGGGTACTGGGGGAGACAACTTACCATGGACTTCATTGTTAGTGTTGTATCGGAGCTGTGCACACAATGTCCACCGCTACACCGCGTCCAGCTTATATACCTCAACTGTAACAGTTAGTAATTTCAGTCATTAATAGTTAATGAGGTCTTTAGAACCTAGGCTGACCACTACAGGATGTAATGAATTTGATTTTGGAAATCCAGTTTGTGATGTGTTTCCAAATTTACTAGGTTTTGTGAAATACTATGATTTCAACAGTATTGTACATTTACCACATTGTATAACTATAGTTATTTACTTTTTATTTTTGTTCAGAAAATCAGGGACAAGTCGAACTCATGCACGAAAGGTTCCGTGCCATTTTTATTATTTGTTGTTTTGCGTCTTGTGTTAATATGACAATGACCAATGGCTTCGGTTCTTTGAGCGCTCTAACCGAAACTCCCTGGTAATCTTGCTATCATTGCTGAAAAAATGAGTGGCTGATTATAAGTCGAAGGTTGACTAGGGAGTTGGTTCATTCGGTGTTCGAGAGATATGAATACTGTTTATTTCAAATGTGACGAGAGCAATGTCTACTGGGTCATTTAGAACACAAGACGCAAAACAATAAAAATGGCACGAAACCATTCGTGCGTGAGTTCGACACGTCCTTGATTTTCTGAACAAAGATTAAAAGTATTGTTATCTTATGTGGTAGTATTGTTATTTTGAAAGCACAGTATTTCACAAAATTTAGTAAGTATGCAAATTCGTCACAAACAGGATTGCCTAATTCAAGTTCAGTTCATTACGTCCTGTAGTGGTCAGCCTAGGTTCTAAAGACCTCATTAATTATTAATGACTGAAATTACTAACTGTTACAGTTGAGGTATATAGGCTGGACGCGGTGTAGCGGTGGACATTGTGTGCACAGCTCCGATACAACACTAACAATGAAGTCCATGGTAAGTTGTCTCCCCCAGTACCCCTTCACACCTAATGTATCCTGATCCACTGCGCTCGCATGTTGGCTGTAGGCTCTATTGTCTAATTTTGAATTGTTTCATTCAATAGATTATTGTCGCAGTTTTGGCCTCCCTGGCGGTCGCCAGCGCCAAGCCTTTCCTTGGCGAATTAGGAGCTGGTCTTGGTGAAGTAGGAGCTGACCTGGGCGCCGGCCTTGGTAACATCGGAGCTGGACTTGGTGTTGGGATTGGAGGTAATTGCCATCATTTTCATAACTCTTCTACTTCCTACACAACTCCTGTCTTGAAAATGAAGCGAATAATAACAACAAATAACTTTACAAAATGTGATTGCCAACGGGTCTGTTAATAGACTTCAATAGAATTATTCTTCAAGGAAATTCCAAAATATTTGAGTTTATGTGATGTTTCAGAAATCGGAGCTGGTCTTGGACTCGGAAGGCTTGGCGGCTATGACGGTGGGCTGGGCGGTATTGGCCTCGGCGGTCGGGGTGGCCTGGGGCTAGGTTTCCTGTAATAACTTTATTAACAGATCCCAGTCTTTATAAATAAATGTTTTTACACATACTGTAATGTTTATGTTTCTCTTGACTAATAAATTATTCATCTTAGTTTAAACTAACCTCTAAAAAGAAAGACCTTAGTTATTCTGTAAAAAATTTTCCTTGCCACCAAAGTAACGGTCAATTAATTTACTCCGAAAGTTCATCAAATTAGATTATCAGCTCATTGTTTATACACATTATTTTTAATTTTCCTTGGTCCATGTCTATATGCGGTTTGTAACATAGTTTTTAAATACCTATACAGTTAAACTGCACAGATAAATCGTAAGATGTGTAGGGTGCATTATAGCAGCTAATAAACGATAATTTTAAAATTTTAATAACGATTGGCTCGACCAGCCTCTAATGAAACTGGCGTAATTACGCGTGCGTTGTTTCGACGTATGGGTCACGTTATCGGAGACCTAATCCGCCCCTTACCCCTAAAGCAAATGTAACGTTCAATTTATTGCGGTAGTTTTATTTTCTTGATAGATTGAAATAGATGTTAAGATTATAAAAAATCTACTTTTACGTGGACAATAGATAAATTTCTGTGATTTGAAAATCGACGTAAGATTTTTTTTTAATTTTTCTGATAGCTGTTTTACTTTGCCGGTTACCTGGTGTCGGGTAGTCGTCAAATTCTGATACTTTCTGTACTTATATGATGTTTATTTATCCTAGTCGAGGAGGAGACTATTTTTATTGCTTGTTCAACTCTTATGTCTTCATTTAAACTTGTAGTTATTGATTGAATCCGTTACTTATTATAGGATTAATGTCCGGGTGTAACCAATGAGTGAAGTAAAATTACAGATTAAATAATTTTACTTTTAAATCTTTTTAGAAACAACCTTTACGCAACTTAGCATTTCCGCAAACTTGAAGTGAAACAATCGGTTGAAGTTGAAGATATCTGCTTCAAAATTTTGTTGCAAGATTCCACTTCACACCCGTATAATACATTCATACGACTATTGACTTCACGGTTGGTGCAGTGGTTGGGCTAGCTGGCTGCCGCGCAATGTGTCGAGGGTTCGATTCCCGCGCGGAACAACTCTTTGTGTGATCCACAGATTGTTGTTCCGGGGCTGGGTGTCATGTGTATGTGAATTTGTATGTTTGTAAACGCACCCACTACACAGGAGAAAATCCTAGTGTAGGGCAACGTTTTTTTAAATGAAATAAAAAATATTTTCATACATTTCAAGTTAAGTGAAAACCTGTAATTAGTTTTAATACACATTTATTGATATATTTTGATATTATTAGATACGAAATATAATTTGGAAATACCTACGTAAGAAGAACTAATACACCCGATCATAATAGCTCGGCTGTTAAGCTCGGTTTTTATGTTGAGTCAGTGTTCTTTCAAGAAGCTTCCTTTATAAATGAACATAAAAAAAGAATGCACGAAAGTTTGTAATAGGGAACAGGGAAGGAAAATTAAAAATAATATTAACAATGAACTGGTAATATAATTTGAAAAATATGCGGAATATATAATTTAAGTGATCGCAAACGAAGCTGTTGGCGAGGTAAAGTGTAATAGGCGGACGTAAAACAAGTTGAATTTACAATATATTTCGCAGAGTTAGAATTCTAGTACTTGTTGCTTGTTATCTTTTGTACATATTATATTTTGGTGCTGTGTATATTTGTATCGGAAACTTGGAATCAAGAAAAAAACAAAGTAATTGTCAACTCAAAATATTTATTTCTAAAGACTAAGATCTGTTGATTAAGTAGTTACGGTAAGCCTCCTTGGCCAACGCCACCCCGACCACCGAGGCCAATACCGCCCAGACCGCCGCCGATACCACCGCCAAGCCCTTTGAGGCCAAGACCGGCTCCGATTTCTGAAATATTAGGTACATAGTGTCAATTATTTTGGTTCTCGAAATATCCCTGAAGATTATAATATTGGACTTAGATTACTTTTAAATATACAAGAGTTGGACCAAATGTCTTAAGTAAGTGTGACCTGTGTCTGGTAGTGACCAGAGATGCTTATATTTTCTGGACTTATATCAGCTAGGTATAATATAAGTCGTCTTAATTCCAAGAGGTTGGATAGGAAGTAGTTAGACATGTTACGGTAATTACCTCCAATCCTGGCACTAAGTCATCACCAAGACCAGCTCCTAATTCGCCGAGGAAAGGCTTGGCACTGGCTACCGCCAAGAAGGTCAAAACAATCGGTTGCAGGAAATAATACAGAATTAAACAATAGAACCTACAGCCTACAGGCGAGCGCAGTGGATCAGGATACATTAGAATGTGAAGCGGTACTGGGGGAGACAATTTAACCATGGACTTCATTAATTATTATGTTTTCAGCTTACTCATGTAACTGTTTGACTCGAACTCGACTAGCTTCAAGCATGCTTGAGGTCCATATTCATGAGCAGCATTCGACTGGCAGCGCGACAGTCGCCGCGTATACGTTACGTGAGTAAGCCAAAAACGTAATAATTAATTAGTATGTCTCACCCAGTCTCACGAAAGTCTTAATAATATACTTAAACATGAACTTTATTGTTAGTTTGACCGAAGTTCACACAAAAAGTTCAATGGTTTTAAAGATAGATAGTTCCGGGGCTTTATTACATAGTACCCATTTTCCTTGGATTTTTGTGTTGACAAAAATATTACTTCGTTTACCGGATCTCAAACTATGGTTATAGTGAATTTCGTTCAAACCGGTTCAGTGGTTTAAGAGATATGGATTCCTGGGTTCTTAACGCCATGGCCATATTCGTAAGATTTCCCGGATGAAATATATTTTCTGTCTTTTCCCGGGTCTCAGTGTACCTACCGTTGTAACAAACTTCATTGATTCAGTACATAGAGAGTTCTAGGATTTTAACGCAGTTGTTAACATTTCCGGGGATTTTTCTGTAAAAGGATATCCTACGTCTTTTTCTCGAGTATCAAACTATATCTGTACCTAATGTCATCAAAATCGATTCAGTGGTTTAGGGGTAAAGAAGAGACAAAGTCGTATCGTGAGTGCTTTTCTATTTATATAATGTTTCAACTGCTGCACGACTCTTATAGCTCATAGCGCGATGTTTTGTAGCGTAGTAATGCAAGAGTATAAGATTAGTCCACCTAAATTGGATTTAAGTCTAATCATTATACTCTAATCAGTTGTATTCAGTATTTGTCTATGACTTGTCACTGTTAGTGTTTAATATGTATATTATTTCTTCAAAATAAATATATGTATGTAGGAATATTCGTCAGGGTTAGCAATTAGAAATAAATAGTTTTCCAATCAAAACATTTATTTGTGGAAGACTGGGAACTGGGATCTATCGATGAAGTTGTTATAGCAAGCCTCCTAGACCCAGACCGCCCCGACCGCCACGTCCACCGAGCCCAAGGCCAGCACCGAGACCTGAAACAGTACATAATATTAAACATTTTGGTTCCTGGAATGTCCTCAAAGCCAATGACAATGAACTCCGTGGTTAACCCAATAATGGATTTAACCTTCGCTAACCATTTATGGATTTATTTCTTCTATCTTTCTTTCAACCAATACTCAACATTTTAATTAGTCGCGTCAATCTCAACAGGCTGATTCGAGAGTAGATAATTTGTGACATTCTTAAAAAACAAAACCACGACACAATAGGCATTAGCGAGTTGCCCAGCTACTGTAACCTGTGCAGTCAATTATTATAATGAATTACGTAAATGTGGGCATGTACCTTCAAGTCCGGCTCCAATCCCGGCACCAAGTCCAGCTCCGATGTTACCAAGGCCGGCGCCCAGGCCAGCTCCTACTTCACCAAGTCCAGCTCCTAATTCGCCGAGGAAAGGCTTGGCGCTGGCGACCGCCAGGAAGGCCAAAACGGCGACAATAATCTGTTAAAGGAAACAATTCAAAATTAGACAATAGAGCCTATAGCCAACAGGCGAGCGCAGTGGATCAGGATACATTAGGATGTGAAGGGGTACTGGGGGAGACAACTTACCATGGACTTCATTGTTAGTGTTGTATCGGAGCTGTGCACACAATGTCCACCGCCACACCGCGTCCAGCTTATATACCTCAACTGTAACAGTTAATTTGTAATTAAGCCTAACGACTGCAGCACCTAATGTACTCGACTTTTGGAAGTAGTCTTTTCGTGTTTGCATCGTGGTCTTTAGAAGTAGTTATTTTAAATAGCGCGCAAGTAAATGAAAAGTGTGAGATGTTCTCTTCACCTGCAGCTACTCTGCTGCGGCCTTTATCTTAAATGACCAAGGTGTGCGCATGATGAAAACGTTATTACTTTCATTTTTTTAATATTATTCTTCTCGTCCTTGACATTTTTGAATTCTGGTCACACGTGTATTATATTCGTTTATCGTACTTTTGCACATTTTGCATGAAACTGTTACACATGCTGTCCGCACTATGGATGGGAAGATGGTCCCTTTCAAATGTCCTCTTCTGGACTTATTATGAGTGTGGTGACGCTGTGGACTTCTACTAATGTTGATAATAAATTACAACACTATATTCAGCTGAGCAATTGCCTTTTTACATTGTGTTTTACCTATGTTTCTTATTATTGTTTTCTTTGTTTCTTCGCTGTGCAAGTAAACTGTTTTTCTTTCTTTCATACGAATTATCGCTGAAGAGGCTCTATCTAAGGTACAGGTTCATTCATTCTATACGTTCTATTTGCCTTTGAAATTCAACCCTATTCAATTAGAAAGTTTGTTACATTCCATAGTAGAAGTTGGTATAATAATAAAATCTGGCTTGAATATGTACCTACAATGCCACTTTTCTAGCTTTGAAGTTCTGAAGTATCCAGCCAATTAGCTCTGTTTCGCTATAGAGACATTTGATCTGTGAGTGTGTGTTGTACGAGAGAGACACATAGTGCGCGCGCTCGCTCACCCCCACCCCTAGCTCGGTCCGGCAGTAGTACACCTCGACGCCGCTCGAGCGCGATCCACGCGTCAGTAACAAATAATAGGAGGTACGCTCCAGACGTCACCACCTATTATTTGTTGTTTTTGAAAAAAATCTATCAATCTCACTCTGTTTTTTTTTCAGAGTTATCCGTTACTCGGTCTGCTATAATCATAACCCATTAAAGATATTAATTTATGCCGATTTTAATGAACAACCACACAATTTTCCTGTATCTAAGGAACTCATTGATGATCATAGAATAATGGAGGAATATTCGTGATTGATACTAAAATATAATTAGTTAAAAATGATCTCAGCGATACGAAAAAATCAATCGTTTTGTCTATTGTGTTCTAAAATTAATAATTGTCCGGCTTCTGTGATAAAACCGCCCTCGGTTGGAACGGGTGCCGCGGGGTTGGGGCCACCCGCCGCCCCCGCGCCCCTTTCTTGTCCTGGCTCTCTGATATCCTGCTGCTGCTCGGGCCCCAGTACCATACCCGATGAGGTACCGATCAGACATATCGGTACCGCATCTGGTATGGTATGGGAAAACCTTGTCATATCCACACAGTTAAAGCTTATGTGTCCCATTTACTACTATCGCTAAATTGTTATAAATAAATTGTCTATATATTTTTTATATTAACATATGAAATTACCGTAGAACAAGGAGACTAATAAAGATTTTTTATAGGCATGAATAAGTAGATGAATTTGTAAGTATGTGCACAATGCCTTTTGCAAAAAAGCTACAGTACAGAACAGTACTTACACTTGTTATTAAAATATCCACAAAGCAGTGTTAACCACACTGTAGGCAAAACACATGAAGTATCAGTTTCTAGAAAAACTCCTAGGAGCATTTTTAAAGGCATTCGAATTTGTACACAGTTTAGCTTTTTCTCATTCCGTGTCACTTCCGACTGCACGGGTCGCTTCGACCCTTTAACGATGTTTTTAATTGATCCGATTGCTGGCAACCCTGTACACTGCGCGTCATTCAGTGTCCAGTGTTTACATATCACGAAGGATTTTATAACCCATAGGGAACAGGTGTTTCAATTGTTTATAAAACCATTCTATTTGTCATGTAAGGGTTTAGGGTTCCGATTGATCGCTTATGGTGTTTTTACATTTGGAGACTCGTGGCAAAATGTAAAATGTCTTGATACTTGTTCAATGTTTATGCTTATGCTGCATATAAATCTAGTTTCGTAAACGTCTGGACCTCGTCCTAACTGATGCTTACGTTACCAGTTGACATATTGTATACCTATCCTAATTATTTTAACACTGATTATAATCACTTTCAAAGCTGTTAGCACCGTTTAAGTGTATATTAGAGCAATCATTCATAAATATTATCTGTGAGCTAAAACTAAAGTCACGGCAAACACTTTACAAAGCGGCACCTAATTAACTGCCATTCGGGACATTAGCGCCATTATCGCTTAGTTTAGGAACTCATTATTATTGGGAAACTTGCGGCCTTCTGTCAAACAATCCCCCACACCGCCCCGCACCTGCTTTGCTTACTACTTACATTTAATTGTATAGTTATAAATCAGGTTACTTCATATTGTTTTCTTTATGAGGTATATCGCTCGTATCCTTACTATATAACGGCTGACACAACAAGTGGTGCTTAGTGACTGGACTTGTTCCTAGTTGTACTGTCTCCGTGCCTTTAAGGCTTATTGCATTCAATTCACCGAGGGAAGTGGACACTGTTTTGATTTCTTCTCTAATAATATCTTTAGATTTATTTCGTTGCATCTAAAACAGATATTCTTGTTTCTGGGACGCTCTTCACTTCGTTGTTTTGATGTTTTCATGGTTATATCTTTTTTTATGGCATAAGGCCGGTAAGCGAGCAGACGGATCACCTGATGGTAAGCAATCGGCGTCGCCCATGGACACTTGGAACACCAGAGGCGTTACAACTGCGTTACCGGCCTTTTGGGGTTTAGGAGTTTCAGGATCGTTGGGGATTCAGGAATAGGGGAGATTGGGAAGGGGAGGGTTATTGGGCCTCCGGTAACCTCACCCACACGACAAAACAACGCAAGCGTTGCTTCACGTCAGTTTTCTGCTCGGCCGTGGTATCACTCCGGTCGAGCCGGCCCATTCGTGCCGAAGCATGGCTCTCCCACACTTATGTATTGAAAAACCTGGCTTCAAGCGGTTTTGTGAGGTTGAGTGGGCAACCTTACTATAATATTATAAACGTGAAAGTTTCTTTGTTTGGCTGTTCGGATGCTTGTCGTTGTCCGTCAATCCCGCTGGAACTACAGTAATATTCTACGCGGACGAAGCCGGCAACAGCTATTGAAACATAATTGCCTGTTTCATTATCAATTCTATTATCATTAATGTATACTCAGTGCCACAAGATTGAAGAGACAATTACGACTAAATTTAGAAAAACAAGTGAACAAATGATATGATTCTTTTAATTGTGATGATATGTTTTCGTTCCATTATGAGCTGTGTGTTGTGATAGCATTAGACTGCACTGCTAGTGTTACATTTTGTAAGAGTATAATAACAGGGCTGCGGCTCTGCTGAGCACCGCATCCATTAGCAGGATCGATCCAAGCTATTGTTTTACTTGAGGTGCGGTGCCAGTGTCGATGATGAGCGGAAGCCCATTTAGATTAAACAAATAGCATCAACACTAGTCGAATAAATAGATACTTAGTTCTTGACAAAGTTCAATGTCAGTCTTAATCTTTATTGATTCTTGCTATGCCATATCATGGAATAACTTATCGACATCTCTTTCTCTAATTTAGGAAAGCACTCTTTTATTTATAACGGAACTAAAATCAATCTGTATTCTAGTGCCTACGATCACAAAACCGTACATTAACAATATTTTGTTTGAAACCGAATACACCCAAACTTGTACTTAGCTATGATCTACGAAAACCGAGTCGTCTACTATGACATGACGATCATAAAATAATTAAGATAGAACATTTGGAGTGTAACAAATTATTGTCATTACGATATAAAATCGTTCCACAATACTCGAGGTCCCCGCATATTGTGAACAATGGGTCTTAATAAGAAAATTGCGTGTCTACCAGCACTCGCCACTTTTTGGGTTAAAACATAGTGGACCACAAGAATTTTGTTCATAACACCCAGTTATTATTAAAATTCATCAAAACGATAGACTCTGTATGTAGCTCTAGTTACGTAATTACTATTAGCGTCACACATACGTTTACTTTATTTAACACAAGTTTAGCTTGTCTGCTTTAGTTCAGTGTCCAGTCCCACGATTTTCGTAAACCGTAAACATGACTGCGATTTTTTTCCTATGTTGGGTGAATATAATTGGATAATAAGTATGTAATGTAATGGCGCGTTTCTGTGCGTGTGTGGAATCGTAGGAACGTACGAAAGTAATATTTCAGCATTTCCATTACACTTAAAAAAAATTCGAAATTATACAGTTCCAGATAATTCCGATCCGCTAACAGTGTAGCCACAAGTTTTATAGCGACGGCGCTGATTATCAAGTTTCATATTACACTGGAGTGCTGAATTTCACCTCAAATTTATTACGACAATATTTTTATTTGAGACAGTCTTCTAATCTACTTTGTTGGACGAACAGAATTCACTATAAAATGTGCTTCTATTGTGCTCGGACTAAATTTATTTGTTCAGGTACACTAATAATACTTCTTCCCTTTCATATACCTTTTTTTCTAAGCAATAGGTATATTCTACAGGTACAGACTGTCTTTACAATAATTGAGTTTCATCTATGGCTGCTGAATTTCAGTCGCAGTACATAGCGACAATATTTTACGAGCTACTGTTTTTTTATTGACCGCCTGTTGATACAATTTTATCTTTGTTTATTTTCGTGTCTCTCAATATCTACTGTTTGTCTATATACTTTTTGATTACTATCATTTATCAATGTCATTTATACTTGTTTAGCTTTATTACTATTCTAGTTGTTAAATAATACATCATCCATTCATGTACTACATAATAAAGCAATAATATAATTAACGCCTATCAATATTTTCATAGCACGTAATGATTGAGCGACGAGTAGAGAGCGCGGTAACCGCAGGCGCTCATAATTCCTGCAG